TTGAGCATTTTTTTCATATGCTTGTTGACTGCATGTATGTCTTCTTTTGAAAAGTATTTATGTCCTTTGCCTACTTTTTAATGGGGTTGTTTTTTGTTTGTTAATTTGTTTCAATTCTTTATCGATTCTAGACTTTGGATCTTCGTCAGATGCATAGTTTGCAAATATTTTCTCCCATTCTGTACGTTGTCTCTTTACTCTGTTGATAATTTCTTTTGCTGTGCAGAAGCTCTTTACTTTAATTAGGTCCCATTTGTCAATTTTTGTTTTTGTTACAGTTGCTTTTGGTGTCTTCATCATGAAATCTTTGCCAAGTCCTGTGTCCAGAATGGTATCCCCTAAGTTATCTTTCAGGGTTTTTACAGTTTTAGGTTTTCATGTAAGTCTTTAAACCATGTCAAATTGATTTTTGTATACTGTGTAAGGAAGGGGTCTAGTTTCAATCTTCTACATATGGCTAGCCAATTATCCCAGCACCATTCATTGAATAGGAGTCCTTTCCCATTGCTTGTTTTTGTCAACTTTGTTGAAGATCAGATGGTGGTAGGTGTGAGGCATTTTTTTCTGGGCTCTATATTCTGTTCCATTGGTGTATGTGTCTGTTTTTATATGAGTACCCTGCTATTTTGGTTACTGTAGCTTTGTAGTTTGAACTCAGGTAACGTGATGCCTCCAGCTTTGTTCATTTTGCTTAGGGTTGCCTTGGCTATTTGGGCTCCTTTTGGGTTCCATGTGAATTTTAAAATCTTTTTTTTTTTTCTAATTCAGTGAAGAATGTCATTGGTAGTTTGATAGAAGTATCATTGAATCTGTATATTGCTTCAATATGGCCATTTTGGTTATGTTGATTTTATCCATGAACATGGAATGTTTTTCCATTTGTTTATGTCATCTCTGATTTCTTTGAGCAGTGCTTTGTAATTCTTGTTGTAGAGATCTTTTACATCCCTGGTTAGCAGTATGCATAGATATTTTATTCTTTTTGTGGCTATTGTAAATGGGATTGCATTCTTGATTTGGCTCTCAGCTTGGATGTTATTGGTATATAGAAATACTACTGTATTTTGTATATCGGTTTCATATCCTGAAACTTTCCTGAAGTTGTTTATTAGCTAAAGGAGCTTTGGGGCAGAGACTCTGGGATTTTCTAGGTATAGAATCATATCATCTGCAAACAGAGATAGTTTGACTTCATGTCTTTTTATTTGGATACCTTTTATTTCTTTCTCTTGCCTGATTGCTCTGGCTAGGACTTCCAGTACTGTGTTGAATAGGAGTGGTGAGAGTGGGCATTCTTGTCTTTTTCCGGTTCTCAAGGTAAATACTTTGAGCCTTCACCTATTCAGTATGATGTTAGTCTAGCTGGGTTTTTTAAAAAGATATTTATTTATTCATTTATTTAAGACAGCGTCTCGCTCTGTCTTGCGGGCTGGAGTGCGGTGGTACAATCACAGCTCATTGCAGCCTCAACCTCCCAGACTCAATCGCTCCTCCTACCTCAACTTCCTGAGCAGCTGGGACTACAGGTGTGTGCCACCATGCCTGGCTAATTTTTGTATTTTTTGTAGAGATGGGATTTCTCCATATTGCCCAGGGTGGTCTCAAACTCCTGGGCTCGAGCGATCTGCCCAAAGTGCTGGGATTACAGGTGTGTGCCACTTTGCCCAGCTGCTCTAGCCATTTTTGTTTCCTTCAAGTATTTCATTTGGATCTTGCACATTTTTTGTGTAATTATTGTCATTATTACATTTAGATTTTTAGGAAAAAAAAATTAAGAATTATTTTTTTCTTTTAAATTCAAAGATTACTTAATAATATAGTATGTTACTTGGGTTTCAGAAGTGTGGACTTTTAAAATTCTATTGTTAATAATTTCAAATTTTATTACATTGTAGCTAGAGAATGTATTCTGTATTATGTTGATGCTTTGGAATTTATCGTGATTTATTTTATGGACTAATACATGGTCTATCTTATAGTGCTATGTATTCATGAAAATAATGTGTATTTTGTATTTTGATGGTGCAGAGTTCAACACAGATAAAATAACTGAAGCTTATTATTTGTGGTGTTTAGTCTTCATATTATTAGTGTTTTTTTGTTTGCTTGCTATAATTTTTTGAGAGAGACATATTAATATCTATCATTACAACTAATGGTATATATATTTCCCCTCACATTTGTGACACTTGTCGTTTGGTATGTTTTGAAGTTTTATTTGTGGATGCAATTTATTTTGGATATTTTTTCTTACTGTTCATATAAAAAACATTTTTGTCCCTTATGGTATTTTTGCCATAAATTTTACTCATCTGAAATTAAGTTTGCTATTTCAGCTTTCTTTTGATTCATATTTTTGTAATCTTTTTCTATCCTTGTATTTTTAAATATTTTTCTTTTTAGTGTATCTCTTCTAAACCACATGCTAAATCTTATTTTTTAATCTATGGGTCTTTTAATCTGTAAGATTAAATTATTTAAAATTATTTTAATTATTATTACATTATTTTGCCATCTTTTCTTTTCTTATTTTCTGTTTTCCCATGGAGCAAGTTGTCTTCTGTTTTTATTTTGCTTTTCATAGATTCCATTTTAGTTCTTATGATGGTTGTGCTTAACTTAAAACCCACAATGACTATTATTTACCCCTACTGACTTTTTAAATGTATCAATGTCTTAACTTAAAACCCACAATGACTTTCATTTGCCCTTACTGACTTTTTAAATGTATTAATATCTAGGTCATATTTTTAGTAAGACGTGGACTTCAACACACTCTTATGTCCGTCTCTTTCTCCCCTCATGTTTGTATTGTCAAGAATTGTAGTTCAGATATGTAGGCATTGACATACTTTCTATGTCTCCTTTTTTCTTTGTTTGCTCTCCTATATTTTTTGTTGTTAGTTTTGTTTTATGATAACAATAAACTTTACCAAGGTACTTGATCACCTTTCTTGTCATATTTCATGCAGCCTTTCCTGAATTTTTTTCTCTTCTTAATTGACTTATTAGAAAAATAGGTAAGTGTATATGTTTAAAATATATTTAAGTTACTTATTAAAATAATAGAAACTATGTGTGAAATTGAAACCTATATAGATGAAAAGGTGGTGATGAGAAGAAATTTAAGCATAAAACTGTCAGTCAATCTAAAAGATGGGAAAGGAAGAATAAAAAACGATATGTTAGAAATAAGTCTATATTAGTAATCACAATAAATAAACATGGATAATAAAATAACTGAGTCATACTGATTGAGTGAAAAACAGAAATCTTGCTCTGTGCTCTTTACAAGAGACCTATTTAATTTCACAATAAAAGGTCAATCATGTTAAACAGTGGTTAAGATCCATCAAGCAGATGTATTAGGCATGAACTAATATATAGCTAAGCATCCATTTCAAATTGTATAAGCAAAATCTGACAATATTAAAAGAAGGAATCAAAACTCCAGATGTATAGAGAATGATTTTAACTGATCTTTCTTGAAAAGGACCTTAAAGAAAACTAATAATCAGAGCTATGTTCATAGATGAGAAGACAAAAGAGATATCAAGTTTATATAATATTGTTGGAGGGTTACTTATATACCAAAAAAGGAGCGGAAAATTACCAAACTCCTGGGAGAAATACTACATCCTGGTTCGTCAAGGAAATGGAACAAGAATGAACCTGGACATTTGTTGTGCCAGAAAGTAAGGAAAGCTCTCAAACACCAAAAATGGTCATATTACAAACCTAGGAGTCAACCTGAAGGGATTTTTACTAGTCTGAGATGAGAGAATCTTGCACATCTAAAAGAAAAATGATTGCAATTTAATTGCAACCCATCCACTAGGTAAGAATCAGTGAGTATGTAAACATTGAAAAGCAAAATAATACAAATCTCATTGGTCATAGTTGGTGATTGCTTTGCCCCGTCTCATTACTCTGAAAATTGATTTTTAAAAGAGAGTAAGTTTGGGAAATAATCAAGCATTTTATCTTATCTTTTTCATTAGGATTACATTTTAGGATAACCAGAAAATTTGTAATGGCAAGTTTTTCATTATAGAAGAATTATAGCATATGTATGCACAAGGAATGGTAGAATTACAGAATTAGACAACCAATTTGTAAAACCTAATGAAATCACAAATCCAGGAAATGATCATCATTTATTGCTAAAACTTTTAATGAAAGGTTTAAGAGAATCTTGGAATGGAAGGACTGGGCTGATAGCACCTGAAGCCATTGTTCAGTTTAGCTAACTAAAATGTACTATAGGAAGTATATACGCAGGTATTCTTGTCAGAAAAAATGAACCGTAGTCTAATCAAGTCTCTGGAACAAAAGAACCAGCTAACAGGAAGTAAATAAAGAACTTAAACGCCACAAGAAAACACTTAGCCAGATCATTTTTAATCCTTCAGAATTCATTAGTTTGAAGTATATCTCTTATAAGCAGTGTGCCACTTTATTTTAAAACTCAATTTTAGTATCCTTTTCTCTATCAATAGGCTTACTTGTCATCTTAGTTTATTGTTTATATAATTCTTTTTTCTGTTTAGATTTATTGTACTTGCTAATATTGAATATAGGTGTCTTGCTTTTATTGTTCCGTTAGGGGAAAATATTTGTAACATTTTAAAAACTATTTTCAAGGGACATTTTATAGTATTTTTTAGTAAACTGAAATACAGATGCCTGACAATTTCACTTCTAGAGGTTTGTCATACAGAAATATATCTATTTATCATATAGAAATATTTGTATTTATCATATAGACATTATCATATAGAAATATTATTACAATAGAAATAATTGTATATTTAAGAGAATTCTTTTGCTATATGTTATAGCCAAGAAACTGGAAGCGATCTTAATGTCCATTAATATGGGAACAGTTAAGTCTTGGACATCAATAAAATGAAATGCTACATAAGTTTTGCAAATAATATTAGTTATCTATTATTGCAAAACAAATTATTTAATACTTAAAACAGCAAACATTATCTTACCCAGTTTCTGAGGGTGAGGAATCTGAAAGAAGCAAAGCTGTCTCAAGGTCTCTCATGAAGTTGCAATGAAGCTGTCAGCAGGGACTGCAGTCATCTGAAGGCTGCACTGTGGTTGGAGGATCCACTTCTAAGATAGTTTACTCACATGGCTGTTGGCAAGATGTCTCATTTCTCAGTGAAAGCAGAAGGTCCCAATTCCTCACCACAGGTCTGCTTAAGTTTTCTCATGACATGGCATATAGCTTTTCCCAGAGCTAGTGATCCTAGAGAGAGCAAGAAAGAAGCTGCAGTGACTTTTATGACCCAGTCTCCAAAGTTGCATAACACTACTTCCTTATCCACTTTATTTCCTATTCATCAGAAGTTACTCACTAAGTTCAGCCCACATTCAAGGGGTGGGGAATTAGGCTTCACTTCTTGAAAGGAAAGGATCAAATAATTTATGGGCATGTTTAAAAATTACCATAAATAAGATAGGTCTACCTGTACTGAAGTGGGAAGTTGTACGCTATGTATTAAATGAAAAAAAGAAAATTGCAGAATTACCATGTCTTTATTAAGGAAAAAAATCAGTGAAGTATGAATGTGTGTTGTGTATACATGGAAGAAGGTTAGAAAAAAACACAGTGAAAACTAGTTATAGTGGTTATTTCTTAAAGTATTTGGGGGAAGGTAGGCTTTTAATTTTTACTTATATTATTTCAATGTTTTAAATATTTATGAACTTATTTTCAGTAAAAGAAATTAGACTCCTGATTGCTAATATGTTTTTAAAATAAATCCTTAAATTTTTTAAAAAAATAACAAATCCAATAACTACAGATTGAATTTTATTTTTATTGTACTTTTTATAAAACTAGAGATCAGTGAGTCCATTTATTTTCTAGACAGATACAACTTTCACAGTTTCACTCCTGTAGTTTGAGTTTCTGAGCATCCCAAATTTCTTTTCTTTTTTTAATTTATATATTTAAAGTGGATTCATTATATTTAAAATTTATTAAATTTATTTTATAAACATTAAAAATAGGCCACTAGATATTTAAATATATGGCTCTGAATGTTCTCATTCTTGAGTTCTTATTTGTGGTTAATGTTTTGTTGTTTAGACATATATTTTCATGTAGTTTATTTGGAAAATAGTAGTTTGGCTGCATATTTTTTACCCTTGAATATTTCAGTACATCTTTCCTTTACCCTACATTAACACATTATGACAGTATATGGAAATCTCAACTGAAACACTTTATCAAACGTTTTTAATTTATCTCACTTTTATTTAATAGGTAGTGCTGAGTTTAAAAATCTCTATGATGTAACTACATAATCTTGTACCAGTAACTTAGTCTTGCTAAACGTTAGTTTGCGTATTCATTTAGTGTGAATAATAATACCTTATAGGATTTTTCTGAGAGTAAATGAGATAACATAGCCCTATTCATAAATGTTCAATAAGATATAGCTGCAGCTAAGATGGTGCTGCTGCTGATAATGATAGTATTTGGCTTTCCTTCCATTTTATTGTAAACTCCTTAAAAGTATCTATTTCCTTTATTCTTAGTAGGTACTCAATATTTTAAATTGAAATTTAGAATTGAGAATGTGTGATCAAATAGATACAATGAAAAATTTAAAAAGAAATAAAATGGATTTGCCACATAACCAATTTATGATCTGTTTTTTCCACTAAAAGAATTACTTTAGGCAGTTTTAATACATATATTTATCTCTTCTCCATTCTAAAATGCATAATAGTAGTAGAAAGCTACCTACAACATGGGATTTCTGTGAGGAGTAACTGAAATATAGGTAAAAAACTTAGTAGTTAGTAGACAAGTGCTGTATAGGTGTTTCTTTTGATAGTGATGATGTTTCATGATGGGATATATTATTTAGCTGTTTGACTACTATTGTTATACCTCTCCTTACCTTTCTTGGTTTTCTCCTTTGTTGAAGTTCTTTTTGGCTTGCCACTTATGTTAATCTGCTAAATGTCTTTATCTTTGTCCATCTTCTCACTTAGATTTCTTTTTCCTAGAAAGCCTGATCTTTGACCAGATGGCAGTAACATTTGAAGATGTCACTATTATTTTTACTTGGGAGGAGTGGAAATTCCTGGATTCTTCTCAAAAAAGGCTCTACAGGGAGGTCATGTGGGAGAACTACACAAATGTCATGTCAGTAGGTAAAGTTATCCCACCTCATAGGGAATAGTCAGAGTTTCTTCTAGGAACAGTTTTGTTGAGTATTTTGTTTTTTTATCTGGGTGTTATATTGAGGTGTTAGAAGAGATATTCTCAAAAATGTTTCTTAAATCAGGTCACAAATAAAAGATAAAGCAAGACAGATTCCAGGACACCTAGGTTGTATCATTAATAGATACTTGTGATTATTAGTTTTAGTTATTTTCTGCATTGCCCTTAAAACACATATCTCCATACGTAGTCAATTTTGTGTGGTCCTAAATTTTTTCTCTCTTCATGCTATTTGTATAAGTTAGCTTTTGTTGTATAACATACTGTGCCAGACTTAGTGGCTTAAAAACAAACTTTATTATTTTTTATGATTCTCATTGACTGGATAGATCTTTTATCTTGGAGAGATTTGGTTGTGGCTGACTGGTCTAAGATTAAGCTGCTTGGCCTGACTCACATGTGGGGCAGTTGGCTCAGTATCAGTGGAGGTAGTGGGAATTTGTTGGTCACATATCTCTCTTCAAACAAGCCAACCCAAGCACACTTACATGGTGGGGGTCACAGGATTTTCAAAAGCATCGAGAAAGGGAAGGGGCTTTTCAAGTCTCTGCTTGTGTGACTTTTGTTATTTTCCCAGTTACCAATGCAAGTTGTGTAGCCAAGCATAGAGAGAGTGTGGAAGGAGAGTACCAAAGGTGTAGGTAAAGTAGTGAGTTAATGTAGTCATTTTTTCTCAATCTACTGTGCTATTCTAGAACAGAAAAATAGGAACAATATATTTTGTTTCTTATAATAATATCCAAAATAAAGTAATCTAGTTATATCTCAGTCTTTAAGACTATTTCCATTAAGCAGTTGGCATTATTCTCATTTCTAACAGTGCCTGGTGAATAGAAGTTAAATCTTTCTAACAGTGCCTGTTGAAAATATGCTTGTGGAATGAATAAATAAGTGAATGAATGAATACATACATGAATGAACAAAACAAATGAATTTCAGACCCAAATGGAGCAGCCAGAGGCATAACCCTCCTTTCCTACCCCCACCCACACATATATTCCTATCATTTAAAGATCATTGATTTAGATAGTTGGAAATTTTTCAACACAACTTTTATCTCACTATGGGATTATCTTATTTTTCTAGAAAACTGGAATAAGAGCTACAAATCCCAAGAAGAAAAATTCAGATACTTAGAATATGAAAATTTTTCCTGCTGGCAAGGCTGGTGGAATGCTGGTGCTCAGATGTGTGAGAATCAGAACTATGGGGAAACTGTTCAAGGGAAAGATTCCAAAGACTTAACACAGCAAGATCGCTCCCAGTGTCAGAAATGGTTAATACTTTCCACACAAGTACCAGGGTGTGGGAACTATGAACTGACTTTTGAAAGCAAAAATCGCAGGAACTTAAAATATAAAAATTTTATACCTTGGCAGTCCTTGGAAACAAAAACCACCCAAGACTATGGTAGAGAAATCTACATGAGTGGTTCACATGGTTTTCAAGGGGGCAGATACCATCTTGGCATATCCAGGAAAAACCTCTCCATGGAAAAAGAACAGAAGCTCATAGTTCAGCATTCTTATATCCCAGTGGAGGAAGCCCTTCCACAGTATGTTGGGGTGATATGTCAGAAAGACCTACTGAAAGATTCAATGGAAGAAAACTACTGTGGCTGTAATAAATGTAAAGAAATTTATTGTTGGAACTCACGGTGTATTTTCCACAAGAGAAATCAACCTGGAGAAAACCTCTGTCAATGTTCTATCCATAAAGCATGCTTCTCTCAGAGATCAGCCTTGTGTAGACATCCAAGAATCCACATAGGTAAGAAGCTGTATGGATGTGATAAAGTTGACAGTAACTTTCATCAGAGCTCAGGAGTTCACTTTCATCAGAGAGTTCACATAGGGGAGGTACCTTACAGCTGTAATGCATGTGGTAAGAGCTTCAGCCGAATCTCTAGTCTTCACAATCATCAAAGAGTTCACACAGAAGAGAAATTCTATAAAATTGAGTGTGATAAAGACCTCAGTAGAAATTCATTACTTCACATTCACCAGAGACTTCACATAGGAGAGAAGCCTTTTAAGTGCAATCAGTGTGGTAAGAGTTTTAATCGGAGTTCAGTACTTCATGTTCATCAGAGAGTCCACACAGGAGAAAAACCATATAAGTGTGATGAGTGTGGTAAGGGCTTCAGCCAGAGCTCAAATCTTCGAATTCATCAGTTAGTACACACAGGAGAGAAGTCTTATAAATGTGAAGACTGTGGTAAGGGCTTTACCCAACGCTCAAATCTTCAAATTCATCAGAGAGTGCATACAGGAGAGAAACCTTATAAATGTGATGACTGTGGGAAGGACTTTAGTCACAGCTCAGATCTTCGCATTCATCAGAGAGTCCATACAGGGGAGAAACCCTATACTTGTCCTGAATGTGGGAAGAGCTTCAGTAAGAGTTCAAAGCTTCACACTCATCAAAGAGTACATACTGGAGAGAAACCCTACAAATGTGAAGAGTGTGACAAGGGATTCAGTCAGCGTTCACATCTTCTCATTCATCAGAGAGTCCATACAGGAGAAAAGCCCTATAAATGTGATGATTGTGGAAAGGGTTTTAGTCACAGTTCTAATCTTCACATTCATCAGAGGGTCCATACAGGAGAGAAACCTTATCAATGTGCTAAGTGTGGTAAAGGTTTCAGTCATAGCTCAGCTCTTCGAATTCATCAAAGAGTCCACGCAGGAGAGAAACCTTATAAATGCCATGAATATTATAAGGGATTTGATCATAATTCACATCTTCACAATAATCATAGAAGAGGAAACTTATAAATATTGTTCATTTAGTTAACAGCTTCAATCAAAGTTTACCTAACCTTTAAACCCTAAAATGCTGCTGATAAGGAAATCTTATAAATAACACAAGTAATCCCAAGCAACATTTACAGTTTCCCCATCTCCCACTAAGAATTATTTGCTTCAAAAGGAGATCTTTAGAAAAATCCCTATATATTTAAAATTATTGTGTATTTTTCTTTACCTACTATAAATATAATACAGTCATAAAATATATTAAACATTTAAGGAGAAAACTCTTCATTCTATTTCATTCTGGTCTTTTTTTCTGTGCATTTTAGTGTGCGTGAAATTATATTGTGTGTTCAACTTTGTATTTTCACTGACTTCAAAACACTTAAATTTTGGTTTGAATTGAAACTGGCTGGCCATCTGTTAAACAACATCTCTTATCTCCCCTAAAAAGTCCCTAGGAAGTAACAGAAGAGATGGAAACACGCAGAACTTAAAACTCAGTTTTGGCCAGTAGAATTCAGTTGTTTATGGACACAAGCCACCTAATAAAAGATAGGAAAGCATTGTATGACTTTGTGTCTGAGACAGTGTTCTCTGAGTTGTTATCTCTGTCAACCAGAAAACCCAGGGACTGTCCTTCTGTTGCAGGGGTGCTTCACTTTGAGGTGACCACAGTGCACTCTTATCCCTTCCGTTTCCTGGTTTTCCACGCTTAATAATAGGTTCAGATACCAAATAACAAGAAGTACAGAATTTTCTCTAAGTAAGGTGTGAAGGGTATGGACAAAAGTGCTAGAAATGGAAGATACTCTATTGGTTCGGAACTGGAGATCCAAGCAGTAGAATTTTATTTAATCTCAGTAGAACGGAGTGGTAATAGAGAAATATCTGCAAGGACAGCATTGAACTCAGAACTCTGTGCAACGATGAACCCTGAAGCTAATTATGTAAGAAGAGAGTTTGGCCATTATGTCAGAATAGTTAAAGTTAATAGGAATACACAGTCCTAATTATTGATATACAAGTAAGTAATACCGAGAGAAAAAAAAAGTGGGCATGTTTAGGAAAATTGGAATTGCAATACTGAAGAAAAGAATATCATCCTAAAGACTTGGAAACGTATTGCCCTGAAAATTAGCTGCTGCAGGCTTCAGAGGAAATTTCCAAAAATGTTGGTGTCCTCAGTGGCATAACAGAGAACCTGAACTCAATAAAACTAGAGTAGAAAAACACAAGTAGAGAAGAGTCTCTAAAGTAAAAAGAGAAATAGGTACAACAAAGAAGGACTTCACGGAGCTCTGAAATGCTGTATCAAAATAAATGCAATAAAAAGTAAAATTAACACTGAAGAATATAAAATAATTGATAGTTAATGGATAAACTTGATCTGATCTTAAATGTATCTGAAAAGGATAATGAGATGAAAACTAAGAAAAGACAGATAGGAATATTAGAGGATGGAGGTCCAGTGTGAGAATTATAGGTTTCTCTAAGGAAGGTGAAAGAACATTTGGCATGGAATCAATGATCAAAGACATTAAGAAACTTTTTCTGAGTTAAAAGTATACGGTCACTAAATTTTAGGCAAAACCAGTATTAAAGCAACCTTAGAAACAGCTTAGAAAGAAGCAATTAAAAGCATGCAGAAAGAAAAATTCTGGTTATCTGTAAAACCAAAAAGGGAGGGTGGATACAGACCTCTGCAACCAGAAGGCAATGGAACAGCACCTTCAGAATTTTGAGATTTGGAAAGTTTATTATCACCAAACAGTTTTATAACAAAAGTGTCTTTCATATGTTCAGGAAACAAATATTTTTGATAAGCAAGAAAACAGTGTATCACACATGTGCCTTAAAGAGTTTGTGAATGTGGAAATCATGGTATAAAAGGACTAGTGATGAGCACTGAAATCAATTAAACATGCAATTGTCTGAATAGTTTCCACAACTTCAAAAAATTAAATGTGCAAGAAAATATATAAATGCTGAATGTAAAATGTACAAATGCTGAGTCTGGGTAGGAGAGTAAAGTCAGGACAC